CAAGCTTTTTTAAGATTAGAGGGTTTAAGCAACATTACATTGGTTATGTTGGTCTTTGTCGATTGCACTGGCATAGAGGAAATGTGTGGTTGGACACAAAGAGAGAGATATTTTACACATTAAGATGTAATTCTGAGATTTATTTGAAGAGTATCTGTGCAGTAGCTGCTTTGAATTTGAATGTCCACCTGTCCCTCATTAAGTTAACTTTCACACTGCTCCAAGTCAAAGGTTAATAGCTTTTGTGTTAATGATTGGTGGCTTGTGTAAGTGGCAGCTATTTTTGGAAGGCGGTATTTAAGTGATTTTACGAAACACAAGGTTTTCTTATAACCATGTGTTTAAAAAAAAAGCCCCCAGACTTTAAAATACAGCTTTATTTATATTTATTGGTGACTTTTTAATATAATTTATTTTTGTTTGTACCTGGTATTACTACACCCCATGTACAAAAGCCCTGGGCCACTTACAGGAAGTGCTTGGTCAGTTTTTATGGTGATGTTAATGCCTGGGGAGGTTTGAACTCTGCAGTTGTTGACACACTATGTGCCTCAGTAGAGCAGTAATCCTGCTCTGTGACTGTCACGGTCTGTGGGATTTGCTGTGGACTTCTGTTATCTGTGTTTCGTCTTAAATTCTAGTTTCCTTTATGCCTTTTACTGCTAGGCTGCTTTTTGATTCCTGTTAGTTTCATGTTTATTTCAGCATGTCATATTTTAGGTCAAGGTTAGGAGTTGTGGAGTTTAGTTACTCGTGTTTTAGACAATTCAGCTCTGATTATGCTTTAATCCCAGTCTGCTATAGAGTTTACTTCCATCTCATCCTCATGTGTCTTTTCTTGTACAGTTTGTTCAAGTTTCTTATCGATTTTTCACTGCCTGTTTTATTTTGCTAGTTAATTGTCTCCTATGTCTTGTCTTTAATCAAATGCTGAAATCTCAAGGCAAACTTCAAGAAACAACAAAACCTTTATTTAGGTGAAGGATAAAAATCCAAAGAATTCATAGCAAAGTTCAAAATCTTCCTGAGCTCCAGAGGCACATTTTAAGACAAGTTGAACAGACTGAAAGCCTCGTTATACCCTGCAGTGCCTGGCAAACAGCACCATACAATAATGTTGTCATCAAACTGACATGTGCTGTCATAATCCGCCCTTACTGCCCATCGTCCGCCACAGCTGTCTTGAAGACACAAGTGCACAGTTGTGTTAGTTTTTACTGTGAATTTAATGATATATCAGTGCATATACACATTCACTTATACTGAGGGAGCTATTGCAACAGCACAATGGTGTGGTGGTTTGCACTGTTGCCTCAAAGCAAGGTCCTGGATCAGGAGCACTCCAGCTTCTCCCATACTCCAAGACATGTAGTGCCTTGCAGTGCAATTATTATCTTGCAGTTATATACATAGTAGGTAAGTGCGGCAGAGTGGGTAACAAAACACAGCTGAACTAGACCAGGAGCCAAACTGAAAACAGGCCACAAGAGACAAATGACTATCAAAATACAACAGGAGGTAACATGACAGAGATACTCCTAACACCTAACTCTCATGTTTTTTAACTTGCTTTTAGTTGATTTTTATCTTTATGTTTTAGCTCCTGTGAAGCACTTTGTGATTTTTATCTTGAAAGGTGCTATATAGATAAGATTTTACTTGACTTTTTTACTTTACAAATACTTAACAAGATACGAGAGACTATAGGAGAATTACAAAGTAAAACACAAAGTAACACATATCACTCTAAACACAAGACTAGAAACCATAAAATAAAACCGAGGCCAAGGCAAAAGAAAATATGAACATCACAAGAAATTCATCACAGAAATGAAAACTTGAACCACCCACTAAAAATTCTAAACCAAAAAAAACCCCTGAACTAAATTTAACTTTAACAGTGTTACTAAAACTGTAACCAAACAGAAAATATTTAATATCAAACCCTTTAGCGTTCTGCTCAACCAATTGGTAGAGCACATTTTCAGGCCCTATATCTAACTGAGGCTTTTGCTGAAATTGACCTACCATGTTGAGTCTTTTCTACCAATTGGTTTACATCTGTAATGCCAAAAAAGTCCACCAGAAGGCACTGTGAATGGAAACTGTTGGCTCTTCTTATACCCCTCCCAACCAGGAAGTCAGAAACAAAAAAACATCCAACATATTTTGAGTGTTTTTGATGAAACTAAGATAGGAAGATATAATTTTTTCTTATATGACAGTGTTAGAGGACTTACTAAACAGATGTATTTCACTTGACAGCATTAAAAAAGTGAAATTAAATGTTTAATAATTTTTTTTAAAAGTGGTCAACCAAACGGTTGATTTGTCCCTTTATGGTGCTACTGCTAACATAACCTAAATGTTATTAAAATTGATTATTTGCCATAAAATCAGACCACTAGACCCATTTTCTTTATCCATTGCTATTGATAAATCACATTAAGTGTTAGCACAGCAAGAATATGCTGAAATAATTTCCTCAGTAAGTCATTTTTGCAACTTTCTGAGTTAATATTATTAAATATTGTAAAAATCAAGACTAACATGTGGAAATCACAAATATCACAACTGATTACCTTTTAACCAAATTACAGTATCTGGTAAATTAATATTACTAAGTTCTCAAAATTATAATTTCATGTTTAACAAGTACTATATGGACGTTAAACAATTATATGGCTAAAAATCACATAGTCCTGTGGCATGATACTCATGTATACTCAGTTTTGGTCATGCATGACCAAACTGCACCGGTGGAGCTCCCCTGATGGCAGACAAAGACCTGTTGAAGAAGGGCCATGGAGCCTGTTGTTACAGGTCTGATGAAGGTCTGATTGTGGTGGTGGTGGTCAGAGGGCCCGGTGGCGCCAGTGTCCGGCAGCCTCGCCTCTGTCAGTGCGCCCCAGGGCGGCTGTGGCTACAATGTAGCTTGCCATCACCAGTGTGTGAATGTGTGTGTGAATGGGTGGATGACTGGTTGTGTAAAGCGCTTTGGGGTCCTTAGGGACTAGTAAAGCACTATACAAATACAGGCCATTTACCATTTTACCATGATTGCAATAAAATGGTTTGACAAGAAATGTGTTAACCTTCTAAACAATGCCTGTGGGTTCATGCCTTTTTCATTGGTCAAACGGTGGAGCAAAGAGACCAATGCAAAGACCAATGCCCATCACTCATCCCTGTATATAATTAGCATATGGGAAGAATTAAGCTTTCTGATATGATATTACACCTGTATAAGACAAGTTATAAGTTACAAGTTAAGGAGATGGCATATTCCACTGTTCGGATACATCCTTGACTTGAATACCTGGTCTACAAGAGGGACTGAGCCCTACTGGACCAGAAACCGATGACTCTCAAAAGGTTTCCACCTGGCTGTGTCTGAACCAAGTTAACAAGCCAGCATCTAGAGTTGGAGGACCATGATTCAGCTCTCCAAGACCACAGAATCAATGCTACACCCTAAGACCCCGACGACCAAAACCATGAGCAGGTGTGCTTGATTTGCACTGTTTTTATTTGATTTTGATTTTGCACAGTAGCATTCAATCAGAAATGGCCTGAATGGGAGTATTTTGTGCTGCAGCACATTTTTCACATTTGCAGCCTAAAAAAACGATGTATTTTGTTGTTTGATATAATACTTTCCTTTGATGGAATGAAAACAGCAATGTTCACTGGGATGCTACTAGAAATAAACTGTATCCAATGCCCTGGATAGTTTTTGTTATCAATTTAATTATAATTTGGCCTTTTTTTATAATTGTATTATCTAATGTATTTGTATGACATTTCATACTTTTACCATTAAGTGACATCTCAACCGTTTGGTAGAGATCAATATTTTAAAAACTACAGGGTCTATTGAAAAAATATATATATTGATTGTGGTTATTACTCACCCAAATCAATAAGAAATGCAAACAAAAAAAATTCCATTGTTTTTTCTTGGTGTTGACCTCAAAGGGTTAATTCAAAGTTAAAAACCACAAAACCCACAGTTCTGAATCAGTGTTTTAGCATCTGCATACTCGTCCTGTGTCCTACTTGTGTTCCCTGGGTGGATCTCTGGTTGCCACTTGGTTGGGCTTGCTGCCCCTTATGTAACAAAGCTCGTCCTTTGTTTTTCTTTTGTTGTCCGCTTCAGAGACCTGTGTTTGGTTTCTCTTTCACACCATTCATTAGAGTGTCTTTACTTGGTCTGGCACTTCATGGCACTTAATGGCTCAGTTGCTGTGGTCTCTAAACACTTCCACTTTCCAATAATACCACTTGTGGGATATCTCAGCGGGAGGAAATTTCACAAACTGACTTGTTGCAATGGTGGCATCCTGTTACAGTACCACACCCTAATTTAGCAAGCTCTTAAGAACAATTCATGCTTTTATAAATGTTTGCACAGGCAGAGCGCACGGCTAGGTGCTGGATTTTATATGCCTAATTTCAGAGATTATGAGGCGTGACCCAGTACTGTTGCCCATAAAGTGTATATTTAAACCAGATCAGCAAAGTTTACTAATGTTGTCAATGTTGACAAGAGACCTTTGCCAAACAAAGTATTTAAATGAGGCATGCTTGTCACAGTCTGGCGGAGGCAGACTGTATGGAGTGAACAAACTAAAACAAACAACAAAAAAAAACCTGGACATGAAACTTGGAAACATGGTGTGGAGAACGTGACGGGAACAACAGACGACCTGACAAAGAATGAACAGAAACACGCCGACTAAATACACACATGGGGAAACAGCTGACACTAGTCTGACATAATGAGACAAAGGAAGCAAAGCTGACTACACTGACATAGGACACAGACCTTCAAAATAAAACAGGAGACATGAGACGCAGACATGACAATATAAACTTGACAACATAAGACACGCAGCATGAAACACATAAAGGGAGAGGGAAACTTAAATACAGGGGTAGAAAACACAAAGAGAATCTAATAAACAAATGAACTTAGCTACACTAAAGAACTTAAACATAACATCCAAATAAACTAAAACTCAAAACGCTGGGTCAACAGACCAGGAACTTGACAATGCTGGGCTGTTTTAAATCAGCAAGTATATGAAATAAATGTCCATGTATGTGGACTGTATTTCATTCATTGAAGAATTTGACGTGTAGAGGAGTGGCATCATGAGAGTGGACAGTCTGTCACAGCAGCTCCTGTAGTTTCCTCAGTAATTTCCCTTGTGAGTTCGATAATCTGCCTGTCTGTCTGTCTCTCTTACTTACTTTAGTTTAATGGACCTCAGGGTGTCCAGTCTCTTTCCATGACTGCCTGCCCTGACTTAGTATTTTATGCCATTATAAAATTTATTTGGATTCTAGATTTCTTCTTGCGCCCTCGGTCTAGTTTAAATGTGTGGTTAAGTTGGGGGATTTAAAAAATATTACCCTGCCAGGACTTAAAGATACCTGGAATTAAACTGTATCACATGTAATGAAAAGAAAGATTTTTTCAGGAACGTAAACCCAGACCAATGCTTTTTAAAATGTGCAATATAAAAACCATAGGCTACCATCATTAAATACATGGCAAACCAAATCAATTCTGCATAACACTGTAGGTGTTCTGAGATGAGATTAGAAACCTGAACTCGTGCTTCACTAAGCTTTCCTGAATGCAGACACCTTTTCCATGCATAACATCTTTTTCATTGCTTTGCTTTGTGTCATAAAAAAGCCTCAAACATATGTGTTAATCGCTTCTGTCTTGTTGTTTTTAGATGCATGACTGCTGTGTTTCAGCCATGAGTGCAGTTTCTTGCTTTTTTCTTCTTTTTTGCTCACAGTTGTTGTTTTCTCCTTCTGTGGGGTTTGAAAGCAGCTGACAAGTTATGACAGCTAATAACAGAATTGAAACAAGTTAGTCAAACCCTGCAATTACTTTAGGAGCTATATGTTGCTGTATTTTTTACATTAGAAAAAAATAAGCACCCTCTCCTTTCCTGTAATGCATCTCACAAGGTGCTAATGTTCCCATTTGAGGCTTATTAAGGATCAAGTTTGCAAAAAACAGAAATATGTTACATTTTCCAGAATGCAATTAAATGATATCTTAAATGCGAAGCTTCAAACACTTGAGGTCAGCGTGTGGGCGTGTTGGTCTTGGTGGGTGTGCACATATGTAAGAGAAAGAACAAAAGCAGAAAAAAAAATCTGCCATCCACAGAAAAGCTGAAGACAGGTGGTGAGCCTTCAGTAAGGCTGAGCTGTAGGTTTAAGTCTACGCGTGCAGCCAGGGAGCAGACATGGCCAAGTGGGATTCCTGTGGCAGCAGCCCAGCCTTCAAACAGCCACACTGGATGGTGAGATTGCAACAGATACAGAGATAAAAGAGAGAAATAGAAAGATTAATGACACAGATAGGCTGTGAGAAGAGAGTTAAAAGAAAGTTGGTGTTTTATGAGCAAATGTATCTGCTTTGACTGCCGCATCTATCTGCTTCAAACAGAGAGGAAAAAACTTTTGTGACCTGCTGAGAGGTAAAACTGAAATATTTGGTATCTGTCTTTTTGAGCCTGTCTGTGATTTCCTTTTATGATTCTTCAGCAAATACCGTTCACTGGCCAGAAGCAAGAATTCAACAGACCTCCCACAAGGACTGTTCGGTCCATGTCTCAGTCATCTACGGATAGCTTCGCTTCAGGTATGGAAACATGAAAACAGACTCGCTGTTAAGTCTAATCACATGTCTCTGATATATAAACTGAGCTGTTTTTTGATCCCAGCATCGCAAACCGAGGATTAACCCTGTAGGCCAAACCTTAATTAAAGTGAAAAGTCTTCTGCAGAATTAGGCCTCATTAATTTGGTCCTAATCTGCTCCATGAGCCTTTCTCAAAAATGTCAGTCACTGCCAGAGTATGTGCAGACTTCAAAGAGATCAGAGAAAAGAATCACCTAGTTATCAACAAGATAAAGGCTGGAAAACCTGAGCCAAAGAATCATGTGTTTCTGTAATACTCCTTCATGCGTCAGCCAGATGATTTGTCTCACATAGTCTAAATTATGTGTTGCAGTGCACAGTGACACCTCTGATGATGAGTCTTCTCCTCGAGACAAGCTTCAGAAATCCACCAAAGGCCCGTCTGACTTCTGCATCAAAAACATCAGTCAGGCTGATTTTGGACGCAAAGAAATAGAAATGGCAGAGCAAGGTACGCCAATACCAACGGCCTTCAAACCACAGTTTATGCAGAAGTTACAATATAACAGTAAAATGAATGTTACTGCCCATCTAAAGAGGCTCTGTAGAGAAATGCACAAGAGGAGGATTTAAGACTGTCCTGGTTTTTGTGTCTTGATTCTCATCTGTGATATTTAGAAATGCCAGCTCTGATGAACCTGAGGAAAAGGGCAGGTGGGGAGAAACCGCTGGCTGGAGCCAAAGTAGTGGGCTGCACACACATCACTGCACAGACAGCGGTCAGTTCAACACACACACTGCTGTCAAATAAAGAAACAAGCACTGACAGAGATTTACAAAGTGCCAAATACAGATCTGGTTTGTTTCTTTAAATAAAGAGAAGAATATCACTATTTAGATTTTATTTTATTTCTATATTGCATATTATCCACAGTGCATCATATAATTCTGCATTAGCACTACTTCAGTGTCTAGAACCGGCCTCTGTGTGTTTATGGTGTCCTGCAGGTGCTGATTGAGACTCTGGCTGCGTTGGGGGCGCAGTGTCGCTGGGCGGCTTGTAACATTTTCTCGACTCAGAATGCTGTGGCGGCTGCTCTGGTTAAAGCAGGTACAGCTTCTGCACAAGCTCCTGGTTTTACTCTTCCTCCCTCTTACTTTTTTGACCATCACACATTTTTCATGCGACTTCCCTTCTCAGGCATCTCAGTGTTTGCGTGGAGAGGAGAATCGGAGGATGAGTTCTGGTGGTGTATTGACCATTGTGTCGGCACTGAGACCTGGCAGCCCAACATGGTATGATGATCGACTCTGCTTACACGTCACATAGCTTCCCCTAGAAGTACACAGTTCTTATGGTAGTTTCATTTTGATGGAGAGAGACAGGCTAGCAACCAAAAATAAACCAGAAAAAACACATTACATACACGTTATAAACTGATTTGCATGTCATTGAGTGAAATAAGTATTTCATAACCAAGATGAGATTTGGTGCTTGGTGGAGAACCCTTTGTTGGCAAACACAGTGGTAAAGTGTTTCTTGTAGCTGGTTACCAGCTGTGTACACCACAGCACGTTTCTGTATCATTTAAAAAGACAGGCCTGCACATGTGGCTTCTTGAACACGAGGACCTTGCGGGCACTGCAAGATTTTAGTCCATTACCCCATAGTGTGTTACCAATGGTGTTTTTGGTGAGTGTGGTTCCTACTAACTTCAGATCACGAACAAGTTCCTCCGATATAATTTTGTGATGATTCACCACCTTTTTCAATTATCTCACCTCATGAGGCAAGATCTCACGTGGAGCTCCAAACCGAGAGCAACTAGTGATCATTTTATATTTCTTCCACTTTTCCACTCTGGAATGGCCTACAAGTCCATCTTGCTGATGGACTTGTAGGCCATTCCAGGCTTGTGCAGATACTTCTTAAGATCAGAATTATCTGTAATTGATTGATTATAATCTGTGTGTTATATGGACTCACAACCAGCATGAATTACAGCAGGGTTGTAGGGGATCATTTCACTCAGTGTGGGGTTTTTGGTAATTTTTTCTTGATATTTTATTGATATTCGGTCTCTCTCCAGTAAAATGAAATTACCATGAAAATTAAACACTGTTCATTTATTTCTAAGTGAGCAAACTTACAAATTCAACAAGAGGTTGAATAATTATTTTCACTCACTGTATGCATAATGTGTCCTGTTTTTTTCAAAGCAGGTCTATTATGCACATTTCCAGCTCTATATCCTTAGCTATGTTTTCCTGCAGCCTCATCTGGAGTCTTAAAATAAACTTCTTTGAGCTAACTTTCTCCTAAATGTTGGCTTTCACCTGATAGCTTCATGTGCAGATTCTCTTAAGAGAGATTAATGTGATATTTAAGCATACATTTCAGGAGGAGTGTATTTGTACTCACATCCTCTGTGGTATTTCAGAAGATACTGTTCGTGTTTGAAGACTCTTTGTAGCCTCAGATCTTAAACACCGTTAGTATTTCAAATATAATTAATACTTGGTAAACTGTTCCTTTACACTCAAATTTTCAATGTAATTTATTGGAATTTATTGGAATCTTAATCAATAATTATTTGAGTACATGAACCTTTGATTTTATATATTTCAGATGCATTTTATTCAACATTATTGCTTCATGTTTATGTGGGCCAAGAACCATTTGACCAACAATTCAGTGTGTTATCTACAAATGCTTCCATGAAGGTGCCTCGAGCTTGTTTTTCTTATTACCCCAGGTCCTCGATGACGGTGGTGACTTGACTGACTGGATCTATAAGAAGTATCCGGAACTGTTTAAGAATCTCAAAGGTGTTGTGGAGGAAAGCATCACAGGGATCTATCGGTGAGTGTAAACACGAAGCTCGAATGACTTTAAGGTTACAAAGTCAATCTGCAGCTCACGTGGGTGTTTCCGTGCCTCTGATTCAGGTTGTACCAGCTGTCAAAGACAGGCAGACTGTCTGTTCCTGCTATGAATGTCAACGATTCGGTGACCAAACAGAAGTTTGACAACCTGTACTTCTGCAAGGAGTCTGTACTGGAAGGGTAATTAATCCTGTTGTGACTATTGGAGATTATGTATCGGAATTTCAGGAGCAGGACCACGCCTCCAAACACGCTCCTTCCGGTTGTCATCTATATAGGTTGACAAACTGTCTGTCAAACCTAAAATGAGGTCATGGGCCCAGCCAGTGAATAAACAGATAAAAACACCAGCATAGCAGCAAACTGACCATGATCAACTCTGCTTCCAGGCTGAAGCGGACCACTGACATCATGTTTGGAGGAAAGCAGGTGGTGGTGTGTGGATATGGCGAGGTTAGTGGGATATAAAGTGTTTGCCCCGTGAAATAACCCACATTTAAGCCACTCGGCCAGAATGTGTTGAATTTCTTTTTCTCGTAGGTTGGAAAAGGCTGCTGCGCTGCCCTAAAAGCACTGGGTGCTATAGTGTATGTCACAGAAGTGGATCCTATCTGTGCCCTTCAGGCCTGGTATGAATAGAAGAAGCTTTTATCAACCAAGATGTGAAGTGTTCCCTCCTCTTACGCCACACCATGAAAAAAACATGATGAAATACTGTTTTAACCCTGTCCTCTTATCCCCCACTCCACTCAGCATGGATGGCTTCAGAGTAATTAAACTGAGTGAAATAGTCAGACATATAGACATGGTCATCACCTGCACAGGTGACTGCTGTCATCCTATGATTAATACTTTTTTTTAAAAACAAAACAATCAAAATATTATTTTTAATTAATATTTATTTTTCACCTGTTTTTTGTTTGTTTTTTTACTCACTGCTTCTCTGCAGGGAATAAAAATGTTGTGATGAGAGAACATCTGGACAAAATGAAGAATGGCTGCATAGTCTGCAACATGGGACACTCCAGCAGTGAGATAGATTTGGTAAAGACACATGTTGTGTGTGCGTGTATAGGCCTCTATATGTGAATGATTTGGCGTTAAACTATAGATTCCTATGTCTCAGGCTGGTCTGCGGTCTTTAGATCTGAAGTGGGTGCATGTGAGACCTCGGGTGGATCACGTCATCTGGCCTGATGGCAAGAGAATTGTCTTGCTGGCAGAGGTGAGGATACTCTGTTCTTCTAATGAGGCCCAAATCATGTAAGGACTTTAAATGTGTGACCTTGAAGTACACTGCTTATTTAGCAAGAGAAATATGCGCTCTTCTTAATGTATTATAAGGAACAGATGGATGAATCTGAGAAATTTTGAGATAAAAATAGAGAGAAATTCAGAAAAGAAAAGCAGCAATTATGATATAAAGACCAGGTGTGTATCCTCCAAAAGTAAATAATAACATCAGACAGCACAGGAAGACCATTCGTGTACGCTGTGCTTTAAACTGGTGGCTCATACTACACTAATCATAACGTTATCATAGCCGCTCTTACGTGATTTGTTTTCATTTAGTATTGACTTTCCTCTCAGGGTCGTTTGCTGAATCTGAGCTGCTCTACCGTGCCCTCATTTGTCCTCTCCATCACTGCCGCTACCCAGGTAAGAAAACAGATTTACAAAGTGGTTATTCTTTTCTAAATGCACCACAGCAGCTCTGTCAGTCATTAGGCTGCTCGCAGTCACTTTTAGTTAACGTTCGCTGTTATGTTTCAGGCCATGGCTCTCATAGAGCTGTACAATGCCCCAGAAGGAAGATACAACAAGGATGTCTACCTGCTGCCAAAGAAGATGGGCAAGTTACAATGCATTCTTCATGTTAAAAAGGACTTTTTCCCTCCCACTGTTGCCAAGTGCTTGCACATGTTGGTTGTAGGGTTTTTACCTTTTAATATAAAGTGTCTTGAGGACTGTTGTTGTATCTGGTGCTATACAATTAAAACTGAATTTAATTTAATTACTTTCTCTTTCTATCCCACAGCTGTTAATGTATCTTGTACTTGATACTAAGCTTTAGTTACTTACCATTTTGTATTGGAAATCTACAATATATAAGTGATATACCTGTAATACAGTCATTAAAAAGTTACAAAATTAAAATGCATATAAATGAATTAATTATTATGATCTAATAATATAAAGTATTGATTGTGGAAAAGTGCCATTCTACATAATGACTACATTTACTTTAGTGTTACTAGATACTTTAAATATGTTTTTTATATTATATAGCATGATAATTATTAAGCTACTTAAATGGGATTTTATTTTATTTAAGTTAAAAAAAAAGTCTAAATACTTTTTTGCACTTTGCAAAACAACTATCCAACACAAAATCAAGCTCAAATTCAAGCTTGAAAACATTCACATAATACATTTGTAATGGGTCTCAGGGCTGCACATAAGCCTGAAAATCATATTAAATGTTTTATAGACCATTATAATTTTATTTGTCTGTAATTATTCTTTTTCCTGTTTTATCAGTATAGCCAAGAAGGAAATTAAGGTGTGATAATCTTCGTGTCTCCATATTTTCAGATGAATACGTGGCCAGCCTTCACCTGCCGATATTTGACGCACACCTCACAGAGTTGTCAGATGATCAGGCCAAGTACATGGGCATCAGCAAACACGGACCCTTCAAACCAAACCATTACAGGCATAAACTTCTCTCTCACATAGACAAACACTAACACACATTTTAACGTTTAATGTTTCTGATCTTTTTTTGTTTTTGTTGTAACAGGTATTGATGTTTTGCTCACAAAATTGACGGACAGACGCTCTTCAGAAAAGCTGCTGTGAAAACAGGAGCGCTGACGCCCTCTACAGTCTGAAGCTTTACAGAGTGTATCTGAAGCAACAGCATATTAAGACTGACTTTTCTGTATTCCTATGTATTGTACACTGTTCCAGATTTTCACATTGTCCACAGTAACCAGAATTTAATCAGTATGATGTCTTAATTCGAAAGGGAGGAAATGAAAAACTGTTCTGAATGGGACGGAGTTACTTTTCTATCAGCTGAATGGAGTACCTTTTCTAACATTTAGATAAATTAATTTTAACTAACAGGCAAGTTGTTAGACTTTTGTACATATAAAATTATTATAATAAAAAATACATTTTACTCTTTCTGCATTTCTGCTTTATAACTTGAAAACACCAAAACCACCAATGAACTTTCTAACTTATAAACCATAGAACAACTTAATGAACACTATTTGACTTATTTGTATTGATAGATACGGTTGCAGTTGTGTACAACCTTGTATATTCAGGTTTATTTCTGGTTTCCAAGAATTAAAATATATAGTAAATGGGCTGGTTCTGCCTCATTCACAAAAGCCATGTTTCCCCTTCATGCTAGTGCTTTCTATTTAACATTCACACACCAAAGAAATGCATCTGAGAGCAACTTGGGGTTCAAACTTTAGTTGCCAGGGATTGCACTACCAGCTTAACAATTTAGCCAGAGCTAAACCAGACAAAGACTGTGCACTGTGAGTTTCACCCACTAGGAGGAGGAATAGTAACAAAATTGCTTGCATGTGTCACTGTAGAGATGGCACGATACCACTTTTTTATGTCCGATACCGATACCATAAATTTGGATATCTGCCGATACCGATATGAATCCGATATAGTGTGTTTTTAATCAATAAAACTGTTTTTTTAATATCTTGCTGCATTTTGTATAAGTTCATACTCAAGTTTAAATAAACAACAACACTAAAGCTATTCTGTTATACCTGTATGTAAAAAAACACTGCACCCAAAATATTTCATAGTTCAGCAACACTGATCAATCTAATAAACTTAAACCTGCCTCATCCTCCTATTCTGGTATTTTAAAGAGTACTTAGCAGAAATATTAAGCAACCTAACTAATAGGGTTGCAAACTCCCAGCAAAAAAAAATAGGGAACCCCCACCCTCCACCTCATGATGCTTAATCGACGTAATCAACTTTAATTTGATGCAGTGTGAAAAAAAAATGCACAGAATAAATTATTTTTCAAGAATAATTAAATAGATTCAACATCTTTCTTCAACAGAATTGCAGACTGCACAGATGGTATCTTCCCAAAGGAAAAAGTACTATAGCTTACTAGGGTATATTAGACTTAACAGTTACTATATACAGTAATGGACTTCTATACATTTTACATCAGATTAAAACTTTGGGTGTAAGATTCAGATAATTATTTATTAAAAGCTAGACATTTTAAATGAGAATAAGAAAGAAAAGTATGTCTTTGTGCCCCCTTTTCCCTGTTAATGCCCTATCGGCCCCCCTGGCTAAACTTTGCTAGATCCGCCCCTGCACAGTTACCAGCCGTCAGCTATAGAAAAGATCCTGGTGTAGAAAGTAATATTAAATAAATTCTAACAACAGCTTATCAAGCTTAAACGTGCTGCTGTTGTTCAGCCGCTGGTTTCCTCTTTCTGGTGCAAAGTGGGCCAAAAACAAAAAGAGAGACGGACTCGCGACAGAAAAGCCGATCAGCTGATCATTAATCAGTTTCATGATTGAAGTAGCAGCAGGAGAGGGAGGAGAAGAGGCAGTCGCTCCATATATCGGTTGTTAATGCTTTACCAACATTCAGAGATGAACTTACACACTTGCTTTACTTCTCTCTGGGATAACTTCCTCGAGATGAAATGCTGGTTTGGTAGCGAGGCTACAAATACACACAGCAGCTCTATCACGTGACCACACTGCTCCAGGTGCTACGGTTATGAGCCGAGTTACGCCGTGTTGCAAGTTTTGTGAGGTGCTTTTTTGATATTTAATGGATCGGATTACATTTTTTATTTCTCTCCGATATCCGATCCAGTAATTTACGTCAGTATATTACCGATACATAATATCAGATCGGTCCATCTCTAGTCACTGTCAGAGCCTTCAGTGCTGCTATCCTTGTATGAGTATCTGAAACCTGTATGTGTGTGAGTGCGTGATTGTCCACACGCACGTGCATGTACTTGTTTTGCTAATACTGTGCTTTGGGGACATGAAGCCACACAGTCACAATATGTGGGCTACCTCCATTGTGAGGTCAATAAGTCCCCATAACATATATCACCAAATTTTAAGGTGAAGGCTTTGCTAAAGGTTAGGGTAAGAGTGCAGTACTGTAACTTGATGGAACGTATTACTATACTAAACTCAGTAATTACCTTAAAGTTGTATTTATGTTGTTACTTGTGCCACAAAGATTCTTCAGATATCTGCACGCCAGGTCGATAGAAAAAAAATCATAAAGCAAACATGCATTTTTTTTTCCTGCACGGTTGCACTGCACTCAGATGCTTTCATTTCGTATGCTGGAGGACGAAAATTGTGGCGCAGTACAGAGACACAGCTTTTCAGGAGCGGAAATATAGACAGCACTTTTATTTTTATTCCAGAAAAGGGACAAAAGTGTGATGGTAACGGGCAAACTGTTGCCAGGACAGAAACAATCACAATAAGTTCAAACAAAAGTAAAGATTTTTTTAATCTTTACTTTTGTTGTCACACCTTCACGTTCATATGTAAATACTAAAAGAAAGATTGTACGTGTGTCTTCATTAGGATAGGGATTCATGTTGGCATTAGTGTGTGGGACTGTAGCCTAAAGTTTTATATTGTTACGTGATAGTTATGAGACATTGCATTTGAGGTCATTTTATGGAGTAATGAGAAAGTACTGTAGTGAGTAGTAGTGTAACAATTTACTTAGTACTTGGGAAACATGGGAAACATAGAAACCCCAACAATTAGACCCCATATGAGCACTTTGGCTTGCTAATATAAAGCCCCCAGCAGCCCTGACTTATTGCAACATAACTAAGGGAGGATTCAGTGTCACCCTAACTATATGCTTTATTAAAAAGGAAAGTTTTAAGATTAATCTTAAAAGTAGAGAGGGTGCATTTCTCCAAAATCCAAATTGGAAGCTGGTTTTCATAGAAAAGGGGCCTGAAAGTTGAAGGCTCTGCCTCCCATTCCCACAGGTGTAGACCTAGAGGAAAGAACGAATGGGAGATGTAAACATTTGCACTGCCATTTACAAAAGCCTTTGTTGGAAGATAAAACTCAAATATTTACTGTAGACTGTCTTAAAGTTGGGTTATGTTGCTTTCCAGCAAGATTAGAAGCATTGCTGGAAAGGTCAATGGTAAATGGACTTGTTCTTATATAGCATATTTAAGTATAAATAAACTATATGTAGTTTGTTGCTCAATCTGTCCTGTAATTATAACACATAAAAATTTTGTTGATTTGCAGATTTTTTTTTAATGTGGATTCATTGTAAAAAATACAAATTTCTTTAATAAATTGTGTAAAAACAAAACCTTTTCTGTCATTTTATTGTTTATCTATTAGTTAATAAATTTTGTGTGATATGAATAGCCACGGGGGAGGCCTTTTTCAGTATGAAAATAAAATTTATAAAAGCACCGGTAAAATATTTGACACCCCTGTGTTAGGCGTAAACTAATACAATATGAGGTTGCATGAATTTAAATTTAAATGAATCGGCTCAATCAGAAAACCAATAAATACACTATTTGGTTCTGTTATTAAAGTTCTGGGGAGTTAGATGGGTTAACAACCTCTTTCCCTGAGATAATTTGAGGCAGTCAAAATAATTTTTGTACTGACATCATTCGCTCTACATGTGTTCCTCACAGACGCTACGTAATTAACTGTATATCCAGAAAATCCAGCTGGTCATATGACAGTGATTATCTGTTTTCCTCAAGTGTCTGCCTCTGGTCATGTAGTCCTAAAAATACCCCCAGTCCCGGGATTATTGTAATCCAGTCTCCCTCTTTGTACGCGTGTGTGTTTATAGCAGTGCATGGCCTCTATACTTCTTTAACTATATAATACGATTCTTTATGGCAGCAGACTAAAGCTCACAATGCTGCATCTAATACTCTGATAACGTAACAATAAAATTTACCCGAAAACAAGTTTTGCTTCCAAATCCCAGCTTTTCTTTGACTTCCTCAAGCATTTTTTGGTCGTTTGTATTGTGAGATAATCTCAAATGAATCAACACTTACCATCCTGTTGAGATTAAAACACTTTTATTGTAACAGAGGAGCTGCACAGTGATGTACAACGGAAAGAAGCAGTTGAGACAACAGCTATTAAACTGCCATTAGCGCGTGTGATTAATGAGGAGATCCTTCCATAACTTCCACACCCAATCTAATCTAATGATACCACTCATTCTGTTGTATTACCAGACTCTCGAAATCAGAGGGGGGTTAGTATGTGTGTGAAAGAGGGGTGTGTGTCCTAGGGCAGAGCTGCTGATAATCCATTGGTTGGTGATGCATCTGCAGAAGACAGATGGTCAGTGCAGCCTATGCTGTTGGACGTGGTAAGCTGAGTTTGTAAGCAGTTTTAGCAACCAGGAAGTTGTGTATCAGGATTTCATTCCTGTGTGGTTGTGCTTGTGTGTGTGTGTGTGTGTGTGTGTGTGTGTGTGTGTGTGTGTGTGTGTGTGTGTGTGTGTGTATCATTGTGTCCTCCCACTAAGGGATTCTCCCTAAAGAGCTTTGATGCCTTCCCTGCATCACTGCACGGTCTAATCACTCGTACCAGCTGTCAGCGTGCCGGCCTCCCTCTTTCCTCTCTCTTCTGGCACCACTTAACCTCAGGTCCTCTGCAGTCGGCCATAATGGACTCTCACGGCATTCGGACTGAAACATGATGAACATACATCAGCCGCTCATTGCTCCAGCCGTGCTGCACAGATGAAGTCCTGCCAGCTATATGTTTTGTCCTTTTATGAATGCGCTGTACTTCAGTGTAACCCTAAGCTACTTTATGGACGTGTTAAATTAAGAACACAGATTTTTCACTTTTCTCCACATCATTCTTAAACCATGTGTTCTTCCTGGTTTTGACTTCATTTTTATTCAAATTCAGGTGTTTAGCTAAATCATTTTTGTACATCTGCATACTTACGTTATAGAAACACTGAAATCTACATAATACGTTTAATGATGGAAACATTTAAAGACAAATTTAATTTCGTAACAGATTTTAGATACATTTTATTGGAATTTTCCAAGCTGTAAAACACCTGTTTTATGTTTTGCACATTTATTTAACTGTTTAAACATACTATCTCTACATAAAGGTTCGATTATTACTTGGAAGTCTCCCAAAAAATCATAATTTCAGAAATATAAACTCTTTATTTTAACATGTAGAGGTCTCAAAAAGTGTACATATCAAACGTCACTATCACTATGTGCACTGTATGTTAAACTGCAGATTGTAAGCATCACCTTTTGTCTCTTTAACTTCCCAAAAGTAGAACTGAGGATTTTATTGCAAGCCCTCAAAGATAGTTACAACCCTGTGAATGTAACAAATGCATCTAGCCTCAGTTTAACATCATTTTGCACCACTTCACTTCAGTTCTTTCCTGACTGAGAAAGATCAGGTTGCACCATCAGCACAGCTTCTGTATCTGCTGCTGCTGTTAGTAGATTTGCAGCTACAGCTATTTACAGCTGCTCCTTTCAGACAAACGAGCACTGCTGATTTCTCAATCAGGGCAAATGATCGTCAGTTCAAAGCTTAATGGTCTGCACATGGATTATTGTGTCATGGCCTGATAATCAAAGTGTCCTTTGGTTCGTACTTTGAGTGTTTAAGGCCTGAGATTACAGAAGAGTTAGATATTGTGATCGACAAACCGCGTTCAAGAAAACTCTGAGAGGCATTGCAGCTTCAGGAGGTTTAGAGACAGACTGGGTGGACTTCAGAAGTGTTTATCCTTGTGTCTTGTTCCTTCCAAATATTGGAAATTTTCTCCATCCTTGCAGATTTCTAAAGTGTTCTGAGACTGCAAGAACGCTCAGGGGGGGATCATCAGTTTTAACCCCATGCTGCTCCGCCTGCAGTCACTCACACAAGCGACACCTGAACCTGCTGACCTTTTTTGACACCAGGATTTTAAAAAAAAAAGGTTATGGCCCTTTTCCAAGCACCTTGTCCTGCAGTGAGTCCCCTTGTGGAGGGTGAATGGGCAAAAGCTCTCAGTCAGTTGTTGGCAAGTCTAGAACCACCGGATCCTTCCAACTCACCAGAGTGAGTTCTACCATTGCCAAACACTGTGGGAGAGTGCACCGGTAACCACCACCAGATCTGTTACATGGAGCAGCATCTCAGAGATAAAGCCTCCATGGCAACCAGCGACATCTGAGATAGACGACCCAATCGATGAGATCCACAGTTCAACCTCCCCATCCCTCCCTCTCCTCTCTCTGTGGTTCTCACTGTTGCACAAAGATAGTACACAGGAGGCATTAGAAAAAAGTTTGGATTCCTTTAATCTGAAAAGCTGCATGTCTGTCTCATCCTATATTGGCACCACACATGATTGCTCAAAAGAGGAGAAACAAAGCAAAAATGTGCTAGTGCCAAAATGGGCAAAGAAGACTTGGCGTGAGGTCGAGAGTAGATCCATCAATCACAAACTTCAGAATCAGAATGAGGACACCAACGTAGGCTGTGTGGTTCTGTCTCTACTCTGTTTATGGCCCTATGGTAATTCACTGATAGTGTGCTGTGACAGTGAATTCTACCAGTGCCATACACAGAACAGGAGGAGAAGGAAGTGAAGTCTGACTATTATGCAATAGAGCAACAGCACAATTGTGAATCCTGACTGGACCTCCGTGTCTTTTCTGCGAAGCTACCACTAACCTTTTGAAGTTTTGTGTTTTGGTGCCAGTGGTTTTGCAGTCACATGCAGAGTCTGCATCAGAATCAGTAGTGTCCTTCCCTCATCTCTGTTTTGTTTATAGCTCACAGGATAGTGAGTAAATCCAGCTATGCCATCTGCTGCTGGGCTACTAGATCGGACTGTTTATCCCAGTTCACCCACTGTCTTTGAGCTCTAAATGTTAGCACTGGGTAGCTGGGGTGGGGGGGTCTTGGTACTGCATTTATGGCCTCCATGAGAGCCTTCCTGAACACGGTCTGAAGGTCTGCTGTTCGAATTGATTCTGGCTGTAGGGAATGATGTGCTAAGTGATTTTTGAGATGCTTTCAATGGGTCCCAAAGCAGGGCTCATATTCCCGTTTCCGGGAGAGATCGATACTGTAAAAAGCTTGAGAGAGAGAGAGAGAGAGAGAGAGAGAGAGAGAGAGACAGAGAGACAGAGAGAGAGAGAGAGAGATCAAAACATCCGAAGTTACTCTGTTTAGCTGGTTGTTTTTAGTTTGTATCTCACAACTGAACAATAATAATTATTAGGTCACACATTTCCAAAAGACCTGATTTTCTATAAATGGAATAAAATGCATTCATGTTTTTATAATCAGACCACAGTGAAAGCTAAGTCCACTGAGCCTTGTGTTATAACTGTGTCTTTATGCAAAATTCTCACATCTTTACATCATGAAATTTGCAGTAATCTGGAGGGAAAAATCATTAAGTTGTCATTTTCAACTTGACTACAGACCATATTTCCCCGTTTTGTTTTGTTTTTAAATTTCACTCTGCCTATTAAAGTCCTGCGCCGGACATTGCTCCTTACCTTGATCATGTAGTATCCTTATAGCGCTCAAAACCCCATCAGTTAGAAAAACTGAAGAAGCTTCTTCGCTGAACCCACCCTTCAAAGCAATCCAGGAGTAAAATATTTTCAAAATATTTTTAAACTGTAATGAAGGTGACAAAATTTCCCGACTGGGCAGCATGTGATGGACTTTTTTTGTACTTCTTCAGCCTTCAGAGTCCAAACAGAATCAGATTATTCTCCTGGGCTCCACGTCTCCCTCCCTCGCGGATACTTGCTGGTTTGGGGCAGCAGAGGATTTTCTAGTGGACAGGTAATTAGTTGGTAAGCATCTTAACTCAGTGGCAGTATAGTAATCCATTATGCCCTCCTCCCTTTCCTTCTGCCGCCTTCACACGCAGGTCTACGGAAAATTTCCCCTGCGCCCTTTACGCACTGGACGCGCACTGCAGTGGGAATGATGAGGTCAAGCAGGACTAGTAATCCAACACTGCCCATATTTACTTTAACAAAATATGTGTTGTGGTTAAAAAAACAAACCACAGAGGAACAAAAGCTTCGTTGTGTAATTAATATATAAAGCAAACAAGAAAAACGAGTATTTTTTGGCTCTTATTTACCTTCTAGTGTCCGATAAAACTCCAACCGTCGTAATATCTGCAATCAGACCTACCAGCATCCAGCGGGTGTGGCTCACCGCCGCAGCCAGGCCTCAAGTTCCGCGCTCTCATCCCTGCACAGGTCCGAAAGTGTCTCCTAACCTAGGCCTCCTCTACTCCTTGTTTTATACCAGCACGCAGATGTCCCTCCAGAGCTCATTTACCTGCTGTCGGTGATTATTAGACAGATTGCAAGTGGAAAAAGTGTCATCATCCTTTCAGCTGACGCGAGTCCACTGGAGTGGGATAAGACAGGTTTGGGTTACGGCTCTGTCAAAGTTGAGGCTGAAATCCACCCGTGCGCCCTTTGTCCTCTCCATACATTATGAAGGATGCCCAGCCGGTCAGCAGCATCTCCTCCTTCTCCTTCTCCTTCTCCCCCTGCTGCTCAGATTACCCTGAACTAACTAACCTAACTTTACTACTTTACTGTTATAATTACCTGCTCCCCCCGCCCCTTTTAGCAACATTTGCAAACCGGGATTACGAACAGAAGGATCAGTTTAGTCAAATTTGCGAAATCCATCCCCTAGAATCGAGGACCAGAATTGAATAGTTCATCAAACGATTCATTTTTGTCTATTGTTGGTTTGTTTATTTGTTTATGTAACACATTTCAATAGAAAATAAATTCATAACAAAATAACCTGCGTAATACTGCGTGTGGTAAAGCGCCCAAAATAAACCGATGTAGGAACTGGAAACCAGAATAAGCTCAGAAGCGAGCTACTTGTCCGAACACCGATGAATATTTCATAGGATCTTTATACGTTCGGCCTTAGTCTTCAGAGCATCTCCTCAACACACACACGGACCATCTTCGGGTATTTGTTTTCGTCTTTAATTTGAAAATCTTAAAATGATCGGATTAAAAAGAATACCTCCAAGTTTGTAGTTTTTCAGGCTCAACGTGTATATATGATGAGGTATTTTAGCCGAATTCCCGGGATAATGGTTAAGATCAAAACTGTTTATCTGCCAAAAAAACAAAAAAAAACAACAACAAACAAACACTTTCTCAAGCTTCACCTTATACAAGCAGTAGACACAGGAGTTAATAACTCCCTGAACCTGAAGCATCGAAAAGGAAATCAGCCATCAATGACATAGAACAGGAATAAAATATAAAAACGGAACATATATTTACATATATATACATGCAGAGGCATTTTAATAGCTTTCGTCATACTTACCCGTTTAAAGAATAAACCTCCAAAGTTACGATAAAAAGAATAAAAAAGAATTATTTTTGTGCTCTTTTGTGAAGACACGTCAACGTTTACTGCCATCCAGTGGACACAGGAGGGACACACGCTATAATGGTTATTCTGTGTGAGACGTTTCCTCCAAAATAAGACCATTTTTATTAAAACTCAAGACTTTACAGAACATCAAGAATTAAAATTTATATAATAGGGATAAAACAGGAGTGACAGAGTGCATACTGGGTCAGCTCATGTTTCTAATAACAGCACAGGTGTGAATGATCACCTCTCTTTTAGAAAACAGTGTCAATCCCAGGATTGGAATAAACTGGAATAAACTTCTGACGCTGAGCTTCATTCATGACAGCTGATGCAACTCCATCATCTCCTCCCTGCTTCACTGCAGAGGCTGTACTGAATTTCTCTCTTGCTGATTTTCACTGATAATCCTTGTGCCAAGTCTGAAATACTCCCCTGTTATTCCAAGCCAGACTGTGGCTCTTTTTATCAACACCTAGTGATTATTTTTACAACTGAACTTCACTGTAAAACAGATAACTTCATATTCAAAATCTTTTAGATGGATATAACTACCAAAAATGGCACATGCACTCTAACTTTTACTCTTTTTTTGATGAAGTCCCTTCGCAATTGAAAAATGAAGATGAGGAAAATATAACTGTTTTAGCTGGTGAGTCAACAGGACAGTACTAACAGGGATGCAGGGTTGTAATTACAGATAGCACTTTTCAGCCCAGATCCTAGGTCACCAATAGGTGGAGTGCGGTCCGGATTAGGACACAGATCTACAACTACATTTTCGAAGGACAGTTTCTATTTTACTCTGCGCAACTTTTCTCGTACTTATGGTAGGGCTATTATCCGTGCAACCTTTTTCTTTGTCTTTATAAAGAAATTAATACGATATTAACAGGCTAACTAATATAATAATCTGCTAATAATAACTTTCATATCGTCTGTGTTCTTAAAATGTCTTTTAAGTTCACAGGCTGTTATAATTTGGTGGACGTTCATTTCAGCAACGTGTCTAATAACTGACTGGGTCCTAAAATATCTTTCTTGGTAGGACTGCTATTCTTGTTGTCCCCTTTTTCACCCTTATCTAATCACTTCTGTTATTTACTGCCTCTACCAGAGTGCATTGAGGAGTAAGGCTATGTGGTCTACAGATCAGCATTAAATGACTTTTTATGAGATAAACTGTGTGGTCTGCCACTAACCAGCTCCTGTTACCCACTCATTTCCCTCGTGTCTGGCTCTCCTATGTTTCAGAAATAATGTGGAAAAGTTTCAATAAAAATTTTCCTTCATTTTCGCCCAAATAATTGATGCATGTTCTCCATTTGGGTTATGTTGGTGTAACTTGTGAGCATTTTAATAGTCACAAGTGGGCGTTTTTCTTCAAAGTTGCAATAATCAGGTAATATGTGTACGTGTTATTTAGGCCAGGTTTTAAAATGGGATCCTCTGGGAAAGAAATCCTCCAGTTTGGATTTCTTGCTATAATAAAACTTGTGAATTATATCTCTGCCTGAAATAGTAGATGAATAACAGCTCCACTTTAACTTGTTTTTTTTTTTAACTCTTGTGGTCAGTATAAACAAATTCTTTCATAATATAAGACCTGTAGCGATAAAGCATTAGTATCAGGCAATGACTTTTGGCATGGTAACTGCATCAGCCCCGGGGTGTGTTTCTCTGATTTGTTGTGTTATTTGGCTTACTGCATCCCCTGTGCTGTAACAAAAATAACATTGTTTGTGTGGGTCAGAAAACTATGTGCACACACACCTGTATGGTGTAATAATACATAATTATAGCTGATATATTTTCCTTCTGGTTTTATAGTTTATGTTGGAAAACTTGGTGTTGTGGGGGATTTTTTTTTCCAATGGAGTGAAATGCTAAGTTCGTTTTGTTTTGTTTTTTTGTTGTATTTTTCATATTGGTGGAAACAACACAGCTTATATTGTAATTAAATTTAACAAATGATGTAAAGATTATCTCATCAAACTACTTCTTAAGAGGTGATATATTGATGATCACAGGCAGGTGATATAAATTAAATATTCAATTATGCCACCAACAAATTGTTCATTTAGAAAAGCAACAGAGCAGACTGTTTATGACATTGTGGTTGTAATAGCATCCATAACTAAATATTTTTCATTAATTTATCTTCACATGCCTAGATGATCACATCTGTTTTGTTTTTTGAATGAGGTGTTAAGTCGTTGAACGTTACATTAACAGTCAGTTAGACATTAGGGAGGAAACTGTCCACTGCCCTGCATTTACACAGACTCTGAGCAGTGTTTCAGATCTATAAAAGCTCTGCAGATCAATTTGGGGGATCAAGGGGTCACAGAAGGAGTAGGTAACAGACTTGCTGGCTTTAAACTAATATGCTTGTTGTGTAATTTTAATGAGACAGTTGCCTTAGCTCTGAGGTGTCCAACTCCAGGCCTCAACGGCCAGTGTGCTGCAGGTTTCAGATATCACCCACGACACTATGACTTTGCTGCATTTTAGAGAGTGGATGTCTAGGATCAGAACAGAAAAGGTTGTCTTATTTCAGAGACAAATTTGGTGTTGTACACCCAGTTGAATATATTTAGAACTGTTTATGTCCCAGTTCTAAAAATTCTGCAAGGATTGTTAAATAAGGATGACGTTATTGACAAGAGGCAATGACAGAAGATTGTAAACCCACTTCTGGGAGACCTACAACTGGGAACCAGTGTTATGGTTACAGTGTTGTATGTGTTATCTGATCATTTAGGAGCACATTCCTTTGTCGGTTTTCAGGAGTCATTTAATGTTGATAAATTTTGTCGGATCTGTTTGTCCTATGCAAAGTGGGTCATTTTCACTGAGAACCAAAGAGTCGTATAATGTCAGTGTTTCAAAGCTCAGACAAAATGTGAAAATGCAAAGTGCTGACGGGGTGAAAAATAAATGTGTATTCAGCAGGTTGTCTTACTTTCATTGTACAGGGAGTGCAGAATTATTAGGCAAGTTGCATTTTTGAGGAATAATTTTATTATTGAACAACAACCATGTTCTCAATGAACCCAAAAAACTCATTAATATCAAAGCTGAATGTTTTTGGAAGTAGTTTTTGTTTTTAGTTTTAGCTATTTTAGGGGGATATCTGTGTGTGCAGGTGACTATTACTGTGCATAATTATTAGGCAACTTAACAAAAAACAAATATATACCCATTTCAATTATTTATTTTTACCAGTGAAACCAATATAACATCTCCACATTCACAAATATACATTTCTGACATTCAAAAACAAAACAAAAACAAATCAGCGACCAATATAGCCACCTTTCTTTGCAAGGACACTCAAAAGCCTGCCATCCATGGATTCTGTCAGTGTTTTGATCTGTTCACCATCAACATTGCGTGCAGCAGCAACCACAGCCTCCCAGACACTGTTCAGAGAGGTGTACTGTTTTCCCTCCTTGTAAATCTCACATTTGATGATGGACCACAGGTTCTCAATGGGGTTCAGATCAGGTGAACAAGGAGGCCATGTCATTAGTTTTTCTTCTTTTATACCCTTTCTTGCCAGCCACGCTGTGGAGTACTTGGACGCGTGTGATGGAGCATTGTCCTGCATGAAAATCATGTTTTTCTTGAAGGATGCAGACTTCTTCCTGTACCACTGCTTGAAGAAGGTGTCTTCCAGAAACTGGCAGTAGGACTGGGAGTTGAGCTTGACTCCATCCTCAACCCGAAAAGGCCCCACAAGCTCATCTTTGATGATACCAGCCCAAACCAGTACTCCACCTCCACCTTGCTGGCGTCTGAGTCGGACTGGAGCTCTCTGCCCTTTACCAATCCAGCCACGGGCCCATCCATCTGGCCCATCAAGACTCACTCTCATTTCATCAGTCCATAAAACCTTAGAAAAACCAGTCTTGAGATATTTCTTGGCCCAGTCTTGACGTTTCAGCTTGTGTGTCTTGTTCAGTGGTGGTCGTCTTTCAGCCTTTCTTACCTTGGCCATGTCTCTGAGTATTGCACACCTTGTGCTTTTGGGCACTCCAGTGATGTTGCAGCTCTGAAATATGGCCAAACTGGTGGCAAGTGGCATCTTGGCAGCTGCACGCTTGACTT